ATTGAAGATTTGGCAATGCAATCCCTCACTTCTTATTACTTCGAGTGGCCTTGAAGTTGTCTTTCTATCATCTGCATCTTGGCAATTACATGTCAAAAATGCGGATTAGCTTTCCAAGTATTTCATCCAATCAGTCGCATTAGCATGCACATAAAATGTTATGTGGAGCGCAATGTAGGCAGATTTCGTTCCCAGTTCCCTGCGCTGCAGCTGGAGATTCAGCGAAGTCAAGAGACTAATACTTTTCTGGGCTAATTTATCAAAAACACCAATTTTGTCTGTCGACGACGTTGAGATCGAGTGGCACAGAGAACGAGGAAATGAAACAGAATAGGGCGCTTTCTTTCGATGTGCATTTTTGCATCCCATGAATGAAAAAAATACAGCTCATAAAAATGGTTAAGGTGATGATTATGGTGGCCGTTGGTTAATTCCAGTTCTGAATGTTTTCTGGATTTTCAGCGTACGGCAGTGAGTGCTGTGCAGAGCAGCTGGACAGAGTGCAGCGTGTGCTGCGCGAAAGATGACGCTGGTTTTGCACTAAGTTGTGGGCATTTCTTTTGCCAAACTTGTTGGATCATTCATTCACGTCAGTCGCTGTTTCAAGGGAACGTTCCCATTTATTGCATGGTTAGTTATTGCCCCGCAAAAATTCGACGGCTAATTTTTAGGTCCCTTACATAACTGTTGTGGCAGTCTGCTGCTATCTAGGAAAGCTTTAAGAATCTGCGCCTTTTTCATCAGCAGCACAGAATTTTGCATTTCAGAGCAGCAGCTGCTCGAGCTTTCTAGATTTCGAGCACACGGTCACGTTTCTCCCCTTGCAACTCTGCGAGCAGTACGAAATGCTCATATGGCGACGGCTGTCATTGAACAATGGCTATCTGCAATGCCGTAAATGTGAATGTGTCATCCAGTGTTTTGCTGCAGCTACGACCCAGTCCGGTAGTTTGGTAGCCTGTCAGTGCCAACACATTTGGTGTTTTGGATGCAAGCAACGCGCTCATCCACCTGTACCTTGTCAATTCGCAACGTACTATTACCAATTTCTCGAGAAAATCGGTAAGCTGCCATCGTTACAGAGAACTCTCGAACTTCTCTTGTGGAGTCTGTGATGTTTTTGCATAGTACCAACAAATGCCAGGTCCTCGCGCTACTTTTTGTCTGCCACATCTGCCAAAAGCCCATAGGTGGATCCAGGGCGGTCTCCTGGGAGAGGGAAGGGGAGCGATTTTCCCCTCCTCTTCTC